CCAACTTTCCTCTGGCTAGTGCTATCTTCTCTCTCTACTTACTGGATCATCTTGATTACGATGCATTGTACCTTCTGAGGACGTTGCAGCCAGGGCTCCGGTGGTAAGTAGAGAGAAACCAGAACTTGCCCAGGGTAAGTGGGGAAAATGGGCCCCATTATATGCTAAAATTTACACCTTTTAAAGAAGTCTTGACATTCTATTCTCTATTAGAAAGAATGGTAGATAGCCGAGAGGCAAAGATGCTTTGGGGAAAGACACACTAAACTGCTGAACTCCAGCAATGAGCCCAGCGTTCTACATCCTCTTCCCGAAACACCCGAGGGTGAAGATTAGCATCTCCAGTCTCAATGAAGAAACTGACACACAGAGACGTTTCTTCCTCCGGCTACCAAGTGAGCAACAGACCTGAGATTTGAAACCAAGTCACTGTTGCTGGCAGCCTCACCTTGCAGAGAGTGGCAAATTTACACTTACGCTTAAAGAAAAAGGTATTTTTCTTATAAAAAGTTTGAAGACAAATGAGATTTTATATGATGGGCTTTGAACTTTAAAAAAAAGTATGTTTTATAAGCCATACTGGTGTTGATGGGGGAAAAGTATGGTAATGAATAATCGGAAGAAGGAAAAGCAAATGACCATTTGTCTCAGCATCACTCAATTTACAAGGCAGGGGAGGGGACCTGCACAGGGACCACCTTCTGATTTGCCTCCCTCTTGTACTCCCCTCCCCTTGCCCTCCCTTCCCCAAAACAAACAAACAAAAAAATGCTAAGCAGGACAAGAGGAGCTAATTAAAAAGAGGGAAGCATCCCTGAGACCAATGAAATCTCCCTAATCCACAATGACAGACAGGGACCAGCAGAAGAGCAATTTGATTAAATAAGGATCTAAGGGACTTAGAAGGACTCTCCAGTTGTGTAAAGTTTATCTGTTAGTTTTTGAAATATCTTTCTTTAGCTTCCAAACCTGGAAACCAAGTGCCTTCTAACTGGGAAGATGGTTTCCATTTGGAAAGTAGGAAAAGTAGGGGGAAAAAATCTCAGGGCAAAGCCAAAGGGTCCAGGTGGGGCTGGGGATCCAAGGTTGGATTGAACCTAAGAGGCTGGAAGATGGTCTGCAGGCGGTGCCCTGGTAGAGAGAGGTGTTAGAAGGCCGGGTGGGTACAGCCAGCCTTGGGTGGGTGGTTACAGGCTGAGCCTAAAGCAGTCCCAGACTGGGAGGGGAGCACAGCACGACCCCCCGCCACGTCTCGGATCCCACTCAGGAACCCACTACCACTTTCCACAGTGAAGCGGCTAGAGGATGAATTGTTTGGTACGGGATACACAAGCACAGAGAGCTGGAGAAACTCTCTGATGGCCTCTATTCACAAGCCACTTCCTGGCGGCCTCCAGGACTGGCATCAGAAGATCAGCTGCCGAGGAATTATTATCCTCGGACAAGCTTCAAAGGGCACCTCTAGTCCCATGTGTTCACCCTTGCCAGCCATGCCAGGGGATTTATACATTTCTAGGGCTTAGGAGGGGGGAAACTGAGTCACCTAGGGATGAGGGAAAAATAAGAATGTCCCGTGAGCTCAAAAGCATTTAAAATGGAGGCTTTTAGAGGGTCCTAAAAATGTCAGCCAGAACTGGTTTGGCGGGGTCCATGTGCTTGTCTTTGCTTATTCTGGGTGCAATAAAAATCAGCAGTTTATACCCCGTGGAGAGAGCACCTGTGGAAACAGGCCAGGTCCTCCTAGAAGGCCCTTGAGGTCCAAAACCCAAAAAGAAATGGCCCTGCATGTCTGACTTGAGAGATCCAGATAAGCAAAGAAGTGTTGGTTGTAAATCTTTGAAAGCAGAAGCCCTTGGTGGCCACTGCCACGGCTGTCTTGGTTGTAGCTGCCATGATTCCATCTCCCACTGGCACCTGGACACAGATCCAAGTCTCCAGAGAAACCAGAAGCAGGATCTTACTAGAACAGGATTTGAGGCTCTCTATTTTAAGGGCTCCAGAGGATGAGTTAGAAGTAATTCAAGAACAGGCACAGTAAAGAAATATGTAAGCCCTGTTAAACACTGAGCGAGAAGGTTAACATTTCCAACGTGGCCAGCTGATTATAAAGGTATCCTGTGGGCGAGGATTCTGCTGGTTTAGAATAGACCAAAAATGTCACCTGAGGGCCCAAAATGAGGAAAGATCAGCTCTTCATCTCTTGGCCATGCTCAGCCTTTTTCTTTTCTTACTTCTCCTTCTCCTTCTCCTTCTCCTTCTCCTTCTCCTTCTCCTTCTTCTTCTTCTTCTTCTTTTTTAACATTCTTTTCCAGAATAGATTGGTTTGGGTCTCTAGAAGAATATTTAACCAGTGGCTAACAGATGAGTTATAGGTAGATGTCCATCCTCCACTTAGGAAATTTCAAGAAGGGCGGTCTATGACCTTCCTCAGTTTCCCACTCTTATGTCTAATGCCCAGAAAGAGATGATAAAGTCAGAAAGGCCCAACCACAGCTGTACGTTTCAGATAAAAGAAAAATACATAGTAGGGGTTTCAACACAAATCATAAACCTCGGCTCAAAAGCAAGAGTGAGGAACTAGTCATTTTGAGATGAAAGGGGACCAGCTTTCCAGGGAGCTCAGAGAGAATTTAAGCATCAGAAAATGTGTGGGAGCAGATGTCTTCCAATTCTTTTTCCATCTAAGCAATTCTGTATTTTATGGGTTTTAGACTCTTTGAAATGTTAAAGTTTAGATGCCTTAAAACGCACCAGAGACCAGGAAGACAGTTGCCAAACTGTCTATATAAAGGTTGTGGGGACTTGCGATGCATAGAAAAGTTACGAGGTGGAATCCACGGTTTGGGGTGCACCATTGCCCTCTATTGGATTAAATAAATCAGACCTTCTGTGTGCTCGTGTGTTTCACGATTTCTGGCTGAATTTGCTGAGCAGTTAGGGCACTTTTGAATGGGACATTAATTGATCCTTGTAAATGGGTCCTTCCGCCTGCTGCCCCTTCCCGGTGGAAATCAATTACAGTTATAACTCTGGTGGCAGGTCATTTATCATGTTTCCAGACACTCAACAAGCATTTGCTAAGGGCCTACGAAGCACTGACTAGGTGCTGCCGGGCATCTAAGGATAAATAACAACTGCTATTACTACTCATTTGATGCCTACTGTGTGCCAGGGTCTTTATTAACACACAACCGCCCTGTGGAGTAAGTGCGATTGCCCCCAGGTTTTGGATGAAGAAATAGGGCACTTGGGAAGTAAATGGCACATCTTAGATTCATATCAGGTTCACCTACTCCTAAGCCCTGAAGAAGTTTACAGACTGTTAGTGGAGACAGGATATAGCCAAGGACATCCGGGCCCCGGATCCATAAACTACAGCCAGTAGGTCAAATTTGACTCATCACACATTTCTGGCCACAAGGTAAGATGGTTTTTACTTTTTTGAATGGTTGGAAAAAATCAAAATAATAATTGGAATATCTTGGGGCATGTAAAATTATATGAAATTCAGGTTTCAGTGAGCATAGTTGTATCAGAACCCCAGTCCGCTTGCTTGTTTACTATTCTCTCTGGCTGCCTTCCCGGAAAACAGTGCAGGTCTGTGGTCGCAGCAGACAATGTCCTGCCCTTTACAGAAAAGAGGTTGAGGACCCCTAGTCTATACTCCAAGGTGGAACGTTATATATCAGTAGAAGAGGTTTTTTTAAAAGGTGCTTGGGGTTTAAGAAAAGAGGAAACATATTTATTTAACCCACAGTGTGAGGTGCTAAGAGGGACATACAGGTGTGCCCTTTTTAAGACTCAATGCATGATAACCCAGCCTTTAACACAGATAAATGAAAAGGTAGCTATTTGCGTAACAAATTTTTCTTTTCATTTTGCAATGGGATTCCTTTGCAGAATGAGCGTCCATCATAATAACTCTTCGAGAACATATCTATTGTGTACAGTGAGGCTTAGCTGTCATCATTTTTTCCTGGCCATGTAAGGTTTCCCACTTCCGAAACAGAACTGAGCTGACCTTGCTGATTCAACGGGGAGGACGCTGTCTGCCTTCACACTGTCTCCAAGAGAGGTTCTGCCTGACAGTAGAAAGGGTGTGGATTCCAAGCATTACTGTGTGAACTTAGAGAGCTGGTATCATTTTACACTTTTAGCTAAGCTCCTCTGGTCACTGCAGCCAAAGTTCTAAAACGTTAACTCCTCTCACTATTCTATCAATAAATAAATTAATACAAATTATGTTTGTTGCTAATAACCTGGTAAATAGGCTACAAAAAATACTTATAAAGAGCAAACAAACCAACCTACCTCCCCCACGAAACAAACAAAAAAGAATTTTTTTAAAAAGAGTAATTTTTTTTTCTTCCCAAGACATTATCTCAACTGAATGACAGCGTAAACAGGGGCAAGTTCTATAATATTCAAATTAGGGCTCCCCCCAGCAAAATAGGAAGTGTTGGCAAGATTCAGTTTGAGCCCTGGCTCCTTTCCCTGGGTCCTAAGCCTGAACCTTCGAAGAGCTTTGTGGTGTTATGCAATTGCTCTTTTTAAGAGAAGCACAAAGCGGAAGGCTTGGCTATTCATAGCCAAATTAGGAGGAGCTGAAACTGTTCAAGAAGTTTCTCTCCCGGTACCATTTTGATGGTAACTACATGTTTCTGAACATCCACTGAATCTGGCTTTCAAATGGAGGCTGTTTTACAGAGCTGTCTCCTAGCTTTTGTTTTCAGAATCCTCTGCTGTGACGTATTTTAGAAGTAGATAAGCATGCCTGACTTTTGGGGGGTTTTTTGGTGGTACAAGAAACTTCAGCGGAAATGCAAGGGCAGAGAAAACTGTGCTGGGGGTGTCCTGTGTGGAGGTGTCCAGCGGTGGGCTGTGTCCCAGGGCTGCTAATCGGTATTCCGTGCAATTCGTGAAGTGGGAGGGTGAGAGATGCAGAGGGCTGGTGAGAAGCAGGGCCGGCGCTGTGGGCAGGAGCCCTGCACAGTTCAGAGGCAGGCTTCCTGGACCCATGGCACCGTCAGAAGGGCTGGGCTGAGCAGATGGAGGCTGCTGGCAGCAGCTTGGCACCTGGATGCTGTCACTTCTCCACACTCAGGTATCACTACAGCCGTTTCTGAAGCTGATTACTGGAAGGGAAAGCATATTTAACCCACCACTGAGGCTCTCCGAAGAGGTGCCTGTCTTCATCTTCCCTGAGGTCAGAAGCACTGTAACTGCAAAGAGCAGTGAGAAGGCTCCACCGCGTTGAGTTCTTGAGGCCGCTGAACTCTCTCTCTCTCTCTCTCTCACACCCCCCACCTCTTTTCTCTCTTGGAATTGTTGCTACCATGTTTTTGGCTCCATCACTTACTTCTTTTCTTTTCCAGTTGCTGTGGTGGTGGGTACAGGGTTTTCTTTTTTCCCTGGTGGTAATTTTTAACTTTTCAAAATTAAAACTAATGAACATAGAGGAGTAGGATGTAAATTTCCATGCATTTTTATGATCAAATAGAAGACCAGCCCCTGGGGCTGGCACATTTACTGTTCTCTGCTATTAGAGAAGCAGAGAATGGTAAATTCGAGGGAAGAATTTGCAAAGCCCCCTGCAATTTGAACGAAAACAGAGCGTCCCCCACGCCACCCTGAACACTTCCCTCCTACCAAACAGCATCTGAACAGATTTCATTTTACAAATGGAAGTGGGACACAAACAAATTTTTTCAAAGTGATTGCACAAAGAGTGAACCTGTTTAATTGGGTTTCTGCAACCCAGGATTAACATTATAAGCTGGGGAGCTCTGTGATGTGCCTCTGCGGTTGGCTTTACCACCCCACCCGCCTCCTGGGGGAAGGTAGAGGAAAGTGCCACTCTTCAGAAGCAGTTTGACTTCTGCCACAGCCTTCTCACTGGGTGACTTACAGCCAGCCTGCACCCAGCACCCAGGCCTGATCTGAGTTACATGTAATGTCGGAAAGATCTTCCCAAGCTCAAGGTCGTATCTAGAGCAAGCCTTGGATTTTTTTTTCCATCTCTAATGTATGTGACTTTCTAATATGCTTAGCACTTGCCCTCCCCTTGTCTCCATCCTGCTTATTAAGGTAAATTTGCATAGAAATGGGATCTTGGTTTTCAGGACCATTCACCTGACACTTGATCTCCTGATGTGACCAGTGTCTGCTGTTGATACCATGAGGGTGACCCACAGAAGCCCATCTTCCTGCAAACTAGAGGGAAGGCTTTAATTAGGGGAAGCTTTGCACGTTAAAGTAATGGGGTGAATCAAATCAGCAGAGGCATTTCACAGTCACTCAGGAGGGCAGAGTACTCCTTCCTGTTGAGTGGGTCATCCTAGGGCACAAAAATTTTAATTTGCCTTAGATGGACAGATCTTGAAGAAAGTGCACCAAATATATGTGGGTTTTTTTCATTTGGAAATAATTTTTGGCTGGTGATAAAGCTCAGACAAGGGGCTGTGACATTTTACTTTGGCTCCTGAAATATTTTTTGCTTAAGATCCATCTTTGGGACTGGTAATATTCAGCTCTACAAATTGCCTTTGGAAGACCAAGCGAATGTGGCGAATCAGAGGAACCAGCCTCTTGCTATCACCACTGCTGCAGTCGGCTCTAATCCTCCGGTTGCTGCGTGCTGCACCCTCCCACTGGCCACTACCCTCCTTATTTACCTAAATTTTGTCACCTGGGCAGAAGTTCCCACTGAGAGGACAACTGTGGTCCCAGTTCACCGGTCACTGAAAGTCAAGTAGATTTAAGGGTTATTAACCTGAAGGGTTTCAGACTTAGGCAAATTTTGCAAAACAGAAATGCCAAACAACAGCTTTCAAGACGGTGTCCTGACAGTGAGCAGAGAACCAAAGAATTGGAGGGTCATGGAGAATAAATATCAAATTTCAATGAGAAAAGTTTCTAGATGATGGGAGAAATCAGAAGAATATTTTTGCTGCTTTTGGCCAGGCTACCTTTGTTGAGGATAAATTCATTCCATAAAATTATTCTAAAATATAAATGCTACTTAGCTCTATCTTGTATAACATTTTGCATCTGTCATTTAGTTTAATCTTATGTCCTTATTCATTGAGCATTATGATCCTCCTTTCACAAATAAGGAAACTGAGACTCCAAGAGATTTCGTTACTTGCAGGAGGCACACAGCTATTCGCCAGCAACACCTGTCCTCTGCTCTCTTTCTACTAAATCCCACTGTCTCCAAAAAAACAGCTATATTTCATTTGTAGGTTTACTTATTTATCTTTACACAGGTCTCATGTATTACTAGGAGGGACCAATATTTTAACTCAATTGAAGTATTAAAACGGAAATTTCCAAAATGTACTTGGTCGTCACCATAATAATAAAAGAAAGAATCTAACTAATTGAGTCTCTCAACTCTAAAACCAGCGTGCTTTCTACTCCCAAGCCGTGCAGAAGGATGCTGCGTACCCCACTGACCGCTGCTGTCTGGTTCTCTTAAATGGTTCAGATGTAAAAGAGAAAATGGCATCTGTCTAATTAACGCTGCCTGGTTAAATACAGCTGCTAAGGGACGGCCTGAGGACAGTGTTTACCGAACAGTCTTTCCAATCCCTTGGGCCCCAAGTTAGAGATGATAGTCAGTCTTCCGTCCTTATCAACCGGAAACAGAGATGCCCCAGAAATGGTTACAGGCCAGGACAGCAAACGAAGAAAGGAGAGGGGAAAGGCGGTCGCTGGTCTTCACTCCCTGCTCCTGGCATCTGGGGATTCAGAGGATGATGCTGGAAAGCAGGTCCTAGAGGCTCTGGGAGCTCTTGTGGAAAACAAAAGCCCTCACGCTGCTCCCACACCTCCCTCCCCAGCTGGAGACTTTTGAGGGCTCCCCTACCAGCCCGCTGGCACTGGCTCTGCCGCCCCCCTCCTGCCAGAAAGGCACAATGACCACATTATTTCTCTTCCAGCTTCACGGTACAACATGGAAGCCATTGCCAAATTTGATTTCATCGCCTCAGGTGAGGATGAACTGAGCTTTCACGCCGGAGATGTTCTGAAGGTAGGTGATGTGGGGCCCCGGGGAGCCTGACAGAGTTTAGGTGTCTCTGGTCTGGTCACTGAGTCAATCTCACAATCCATGCCTTTGTTTCTCAAGAAATATATACAGTTCCTTTCAAAGAAGTTCACCTCAATCAAAAGGCTTCCTTCTGAGCACCTGGGCACCAGCTACCAGCCTGGGTGATGGAAATCCGCTTGGCACAAGCCAGCATCCTTGCCCTGAGATGCTTGTGGCCTGGAGGGGGAACAAACCTGCCCAGAGGGCTGTCATAGATGTTCTCATCCACACATTCAGGAGCAAGGGTTGGGGGACAAGTGACCCCAGCTTGAAAGATGGGGTTGTAGGACTGGGTGGCACTGTCAGTTGTCAGAGAATGCAAGAAGGTGGGCTGGGCTCTTGGCTAAAGCTCAGAGATGAGTGAGCCCAGGGGGAACTCGGTCCGCGTTGTGATGCCGGGCACGGCTGGAACTTACAAGAGGGAGGTGTGGGTGGGGACAGCCTGGAGAGGCAGTTGAGAGTTGAGACTCGGGTCTACAAAGGCCATGCACACCTGGCCAACTCAGGGGCTTCTTAAAACTTGTCTTACGGCCATGCTTGAGTTGTAGCGGCCACTCGCCAAGCTGAAGAGGGCTTGGACTTCTCCCCCGCCTCCTGCACCACAGTTACAGACCCCGCCTCTGAGCCCCTGTTTTGTGCCAAAAAGCACAAGGCCTTCAAGAGGCCACTGGGGAACCAAGGCACCAATGCCCTTCTCCTGGCTTCGGAACACCTCAGATATCCTGATCCCAGGTCCTCTGCAGCCCACGTGGGCCTTCTCAGACCGCCCAGTGTCGCTGAGGCCACCGTTGTCCCTCCACTAAGATAAACGCCTGCTCTAGGAAGGACCCCGTCAGTACGCAAGACGATGATTCCAAAGGTGTCTGCAGAGCACGAACCAGGCAGAAGGACGGTTTGGATTTGAATCCCCCAGTATTTATCCCCCTAACTGCTCTCACCGTGCAAGACCTAGTAAGGCAGCTGCAAAGAGTATGCCTTCAATGTCGAGCTTCTCGAGGTCAAAACTGTTCCTGGAGCTGCTGACCCAGGAAAACGTGACCTTCACTTCTTTGGGATCTTACCAAGGTCACAGAGGGCTATGCAACACGGTGAGCAGTCCCTCCCTTCCCTGTGGGGGAACTGTGACCATGTGAGTATTGACATTCTAGAGTGTTCTCACCCAAAGGAAGCCCAAAGAAGGGGACAACTCCCACCCCTCAGCTCCCATTTCAAACAGAACCTACTCTCTTGCTTAAAATTTCCCTATTCCCCAGAAAAGTAAAAAGAAATGAAAAACTCTCCTCAACTCTGCTTTTCAGTCCAGCTCCTGTTTCTTTCCTCTCCTTCCCTGCCAGTGCTGGGAAGGATTCTCTGTGCTAAATGTCTTCACTTCCTCACTTCCCATTCATTCCACTGGAACCCTCTGGAATCTGTCTTTTACCCTCAACACTCCCTTAAAGACCAGCAGTGATCTCCTTAGTGTGGAATATAAGGACCCTACTTAAATGCCTGCAGGATCAGACCCTGCTCACTGTCCCTCTCCTGCAGCTGAAGGGAGCCCTGTCTGACACCCAAACACCTTATGCTGCTCTGAAAGTTTTTATTTCATTGTATCCCTTTCTTCACTGGAGAGGAATCTGACACGTGTACAAAGGAGCATGGACTTTGGGGCCAGATAAATCTGAGTTTGAGTCCCAGCTTAGTAGCTGTGTGGCCTTGGGTCAGTCACTCGCCCCCTCTGAGCTTCAGTGTCTTTATAAGTGGAGGCCATATGTATCTTACAGGCTTGTGGAAAGGATTAGAGGTAGTAAATAGCCCCAGCCCAAAGTGGATGTTCAAAAATGATCTCCGCATTGTCAGTGTCACCCATTCCCACTGTCTCTGACTGTTAAAACTACTGCCATAGCTTGCCCTTGACTGACTTCATCGCCTCCCATCTCTTCCTCCTTCATCCTACAAACTAGTCCCAGAAGAGGCTTTCTAGAAGACAAACCAGATCGTATTATGTCCTTACTCAAAAGCATTCAGTGGTTCCCCATTACCAGTTGATTGAAGTCTAAACCC